CATTTCTAGGATACTGACATGTTGTATATTCTCATTTCTAGGATACTGACATGTCATATATTCTCATTTCTAGGATACTGACAGGTCGTATATTCTCATTTTTAGGATACTGACATGTTGTATATTCTCATTTCTAGGATACTGACATGTTGTATATTCTCATTTCTAGGATACTGACATGTTGTATATTCTCATTTCTAGGATACTGACATGTTGTATATTCTCATTTCTAGGATACTGACATGTTGTATATTCTCATTTCTAGGATACTGACATGTTGTATATTCTCATTTCTAGGATACTGACATGTTGTATATTCTCATTTCTAGGATACTGACATGTTGTATATTCTCATTTCTAGGATACTGACATGTTGTATATTCTCATTTCTAGGATACTGACATGTTGTATATTCTCATTTCTAGGATACTGACATGTTGTATATTCTCATTTCTAGGATACTGACATGTTGTATATTCTCATTTCTAGGATACTGACATGTTGTATATTCTCATTTCTAGGATACTGACATGTTGTATATTCTCATTTCTAGGATACTGACATGTTGTATATTCTCATTTCTAGGATACTGACATATTGTATATTCTCATTTCTAGGATACTGACATGTTGTATATTCCCATTTCTAGGATACTGACATGTTGTATATTCTCATTTCTAGGATACTGATATGTTGTATATTCCTATTTCTAGGATACTGACATATTATATATTCTCATTTCTAGGATACTGACATGTTGTATATTCTCATTTCTAAGATACTGACATGTTGTATATTCTCATTTTTAGGATACTGACATGTCATATATTCTCATTTCTAGGATACTGACATATTGTATATTCTCATTTCTAGGATACTGACATGTTGTATATTCCCATTTCTAAGATACTGACATGTTGTATATTCCCATTTCTAAGATACTGACATGTTGTATATTCTCATTTCTAGGATACGGACATGTCCTATATTCTCATTTCTAGGATACTGACATGTTGTATATTCCCATTTCTAAGATACTGACATGTTGTATATTCCCATTTCTAAGATACTGACATGTTGTATATTCTCATTTCTAGGATACGGACATGTCCTATATTCTCATTTCTAGGATACTGACATGTTGTATATTCCCATTTCTAAGATACTGACATGTTGTATATTCCCATTTCTAAGATACTGACATGTTGTATATTCTCATTTCTAGGATACGGACATGTCCTATATTCTCATTTCTAGGATACTGACATGTTGTATATTCCCATTTCTAAGATACTGACATGTTGTATATTCCCATTTCTAGGATACTGACATGTTGTGTACTTACATTTCTAGGATACTGACATGTTGTGTGCTCACATTTTATTTTGTTGTGTTTATAATTTTATGATACTGTCTTGTTTGTAATCACATTATTTTGGTAGTTCATGCATGATATTTTGTGCTTACTCACATTTCAGTTGCACTTTACTGTGCCCTTTGCCATGCAGAGTTTTACTGCCAGTGATGAAGATGTGGAAAACTGTGCTAGAAATGAAATAATACCTCGACTGAACCAAATATTTGTGTCCAACCTCAATGGTAAGGTATCGGATTTGAACGGGGTATGTGGTGACCTACAGATTCAGAGCTTCAACATAAGTGAGTCTATGTGGGAGTGTCCGGAAGACTACTCTCTAGAGAAGACTTCAGTGACCCGTCGTTGTGTATTGAACTCTCCAACAACTGGGGTGACGTCCTCCCCCACTGTACCAGTCGTCACAGCCACACCTCCCTCCACTGTACCAGTCGTCACACCCTCCACAGGCAACAGCTCTCTACTGCGCCTCATCCCTGTATACATGGCGTTTTTGTCTGTCAATGTGCACTTTCCAGCTACCCATAGTAGTAGCTGTAATTCAGAATTCATTGACTTGACTGGCAACTGGCTCAAACGTAACATCACCAACTGGTGTCCTGCCATGGCAAGCAACATCTCAAATGAAGCGTTTCCTGTCATTGCTCATACCAAGGTAGGAAACAAATAAGTAACAGATGTCAATATGAGTCAGTAAGAATCTAAGATGAGTCATTGCCATTATAATAATTCTGTGAAAATATAACCTGAAAACATCTGTTTTATGTTTGATTTTAAGGTCACATGCCTCAGGTGACCTACCTTTTAAGGTCACATGCCTCAGGTGACCTACCTTTTAAGGTCACATGCCTCAGGTGACCTACCTTTTAAGGCCACATGCCTCAGGTGACCTACCTTGATGGCCTTTCTAACATTGTCATGCATCAACCATTACATTTTCAACTTCTCCTTGAAAACTTTGTAAGATTTTGATGACGGTTGGAATAATCTGTAATCTGCCGTGTGAATCAGAATGTATAATCGACATGGGGGGCTGACCCCCAGGGGGCTAAGTAAGAAGGGGCTGACCCCCAGGGGCTAAGTGAGAAGGGCTGACCCCTAAGAGGCTAAGTGACAAGGGGCTGACCCCTTAGGGGCTAAGTGAGAAGGGGCTGACCCCCAGGGGCTAAGTGAGAAGGGACTGACCCCCTAGGGCTAAGTGACAAGGGCTGACCCCTGAGAGGCTAAGTGACAAGGGGCTGACCCCCAGGGGGCTAAGTGACAAGGGCTGACCCCCTAGGGCTAAGTAACAAGGGCTGACCCCCTAGGGCTAAGTAACAAGGGCTGACCCCCTAGGGCTAAATAACAAGGGCTGACCCCTGAGAGGCTAAGTGACAAGGGGCTGACCCCCAGAGGGCTAAGTGACAAGGGCTGACCCCCGAGAGGCTAAATGACAAGGGGCTGACCCCCAGGGGGCTAAGTGAGAAGGGGCTGCCCCCCTAGGACTAAGGGACAAGGGCTGACCTCCCAAGAGGCTTAGTGACAAGGGGCTGCCCCCCAGGAGGCTAAGTGGCAAGGGGCTGACCCCCAATGGGCTAAATGATAAGGGGGTGACCCCCAGGGGGCTATAAGTAACAAGGGGATGACCCCTGAGAGGCTGAGTGACAAGGGGCTGAACCCCAGGGGGCAAAATGACAAGGGGCTGACCCCCAGAGGGCTAAGTGACAAGGGCTGACCCCTGAGAGGCTAAATGACAAGGGGCTGACCCCCAGGGGGCAAAATGACAAGGGGCTGACCCCCAGGGGGCTATAAGTGACAAGGGGATGACCCCCTAGGACTAAGTGACAAGGGCTGACCTCCCAAGAGGCTTAGTGACAAGGGGCTGACCCCCAGGGGGCTAAATGACAAGGGGCTGACTGGGAGGGGAGGGGAGGCTAAACAATGGAACCATAAGTGATCACCTGAGTTAAAAACCTTCCAAAGACCTCTCCTTTTAAACTTAATTACGAACATTCGATAAGATGGTCTTAAGATGATAAGGATCAGAATCTACAATCAAGAAGTGTCTGTCTTACAATTAGTGGGCTGAGGGATGGGTCCATAAGTAGTCATTGAGTGGAAAACCTCTGAAACTTGCTGATGCATAATTTCCACCATTTTATAAAATGAGCCCTGGATGATGTTGATCAAAATCTTCTCAAAATGAGGCTGACCTCTGGAGTTGTTAGGGGTGGGGCCATATCATAACTAGTCATCAAAAGTAAAATCTTCAAGTGAAATTTTCTCTTGTTACTTGCAGATTTAGATTAACATCGATTGAAAAAATTCTAAGATGATGAGGTTCAAAATCTTCACTCAAGAAGGGTTTGACAGGCAAACTTGAGGGCTAAGCCTTCTCATGACATCTGTTCTAAAAGTTGCTGGAGGATTTAGACTAAACTTTTGTGAAATTATTCTTTGCAAACTATGCCCTTCATAGGAAACACTTGATTGTTCTGTTTGGATTCGTTTATTGAAGTTAGATCTACTTAACGCTTTGTGTGTCATTCGTAATTTCACCCTGTGTAACATTCGTAATTTCACTCAGGTGACTTAAGCCCCAATGGTCCTCTTGTTCAGTTTGATGGTACAGGTGATGATACATGATGTAGTAAGATGATATGTAAGGAAGTGTGATGATACAGGTGATGATACAGGTGATGATACATGATGTAGTAAGATGATATGTAAGGTAGTGTGATGATACAGGTGATGATACATGATGTAGTAAGATGATATGTAAGG